AGTAGTCAAACTTGTTTCTAAGCTTCTAAGAAAACTGCGGCTTGTGCTCATCACTGCGTTCCCTATCACCAGTCTCACCGGCTATGTGAACGGCAACAGCGACGTAACTTCCCCACGCCGAGCTATAGTGTTACATATTGCTGCCATTCTTGCTGCTATCATAACAGTAGTATTGTTACTACGGTTAGAGCATGTTGCTATGCTCAACTCAACTGAGATCACCATGCTCAGGCTTCCCAAGTCTATCAACCTATTTAAATTTCGACAACCACAATGCAGTAGCCGGTACAACTACACATATTGGTCCATAAGGTTCCTTGTTCTTGCTAGACTATATTCCAGTGCACCTCAAAACTCTATTCTAATTGTTCCGGTCCGAAGCCCCAAGACCAAGCCACAGATCCCGACGTAACGGAACCCACAAGCCCTTGGACTCCGGCAAGTGCCTACAAAGCTCTTTGTTGGCATGTCTGTACGTTGCTGCCAACTCCGATCGGTCCTCGGAAATCGTCATTCGGCTTTACCTAAGGCTTCCTTGGGCTTGCAGGCCCAACCGACCGAAACCCTAAACCCCAAAGCCAAACCCTAACTAGGGCCTTAAGGGGTATTCGGCATGAAGTCAAACATCTCACTTCTAAGTCCAGCAAGCATTTCTGAGGTTGGTGGAGTAGGAGTAGGAACTTTCTTCTCGCTGTTGCATGGCAGGGCTGCCTAACATTCCGAATAGATCCAGCAACAAACTTTGCGACCTTGATGTAAACAAGCCTCCATCAAGTCAAGAGCCCTCAATCTCGATGTCACACACACAGAGGCACCAAAACGAAAAAGTGTTGGGCCCGTTGCATGTAATACCCAGTATATACACTCAGCAGCATGTATACCGTAGGAAACTTGTCGGCGCTCCGAGAAGCTCCAATATATTCTCTACTTGCTTTTTGTTGGGTGCAAGCTGCTTGGCACATTTATATATCAAACAGAATTTGAAAAACCCACATAGTGGCAGAATGAAGCTGTCAACAGGCCCAATTGAGATGGTTGAGTATATACCTGAAGGTACGCTTGGAGACATGGACTGGAAGGTACAATTTATATTGAGGTGTAAGAGGTACACAAGAATTGAAGCACTTTGGCGATGTTGCATCCCGGTCCTTTGTCTGCACGCTCTCTGTCTCGTTGACCCTCCCGAGCTGGACAAGAAACGAAAACTAGATCTCGAACATCAAGCCTCTAATTGTCCCAAAGTCTAGATAACCCAGGCCCAAAACCCTGAAGCCTTCATCCAATACTCTTGCTCTTCAACCCTTATTCCCTAAACCACTGGAACCCGAAGCCCAAAGTCTTGCAAGTCCTAAACCAAGCGTTTCAAGGCCCCCTTGGCCAAGACTGAGGACTCTGGCATGCGAGACTGCTTGTAGAACAGCCTTCGGAGGACTGGCTGCAACTTTGAGGGTGTTGTAGGGTTTGGGGTTCACGGTTACTGTTTCGGACTTCGGCTTCAGGGTTTAAAACTGGCAAGGGTTCTAGAAGGCTTCTTTAGAAAGGTCCGATAAGAGTTCTGAAAAGGCTTCGGGTTTAGGATATAGGGTTCAGGGTTTCATTGCTAAGGGATTGGTGGTCTTCTATAGTCTTCGAGCGCTTAAGATTCGAGGAACTGAGCCTACAGCTTAGCAGACTCGTCCAGTGTCGCGTCAAGCAGTTGAAAACATTCTGCTGTAAACTCCAGAACCGCAGAGGATAATAAAGGGCCTTGATGATTAGAATAGGGTTGTGGGGCCCACTATATTACAAATATATTGATAAGCAACGCCCACAATAGTATTGGTAATTATCTAGGCCCCTATATATTGCAGCACGAAAGTGATCGCTGACGCACAAAGCGAACCTGCTAGCACATGGCAGTATAGCCACTTGGGGGCCAATGAGTTACCAAAACAACCATGCATCGGTTCCTACAAGCAAAAAACAAGGTGATGCAGCTGTGCTTGGCTAGCGTTGTGGGCTTGATAACTTGACAAATGTCTGGTGCAAGCGGCAAGGGGAAGGGGGGGGAACTGCAGAAGAGGGACAGCAAGGAACAGTAGCTCCAATTATTCACAACTGTTTTCATCGTATACCTAAGAACCCTAAACCCTAGAAGCCTGAACCTACTCTGGGCTTTTAAGTAACCAGGGAGAAAAGTATATATAAACTTATAATGGTTTCTTATTTAACAAACAGTATTTAACAAACAGTATTAAAGTTTGGCACCCCAAAGCCAGTACTAGTCTTAGTTTCAGCCTGTACTTTTCGGGCCAGTGGTCTTGATGCTGGAAAGCTTTTCCTGACCGCAACCCTAAACCCTGAACCCCTGAACCTCTAAGCCCACAAACCCTACTACAGCCCAAAACCCCAAACACATAAGCCCAAACCCTAAACCCCACACCGCCTAAACATCACAACCCCAAACCCAAAACCCTAACACGCAAAACCCTAAAGCCATGATATGCTTTTTGGTCTGCTGGCCCAACGACCGACCGTGGGAGCAGAGATTGCCAAGACTTAGTTGCTGAGTTCATAAGCCCCAAAAAGTGTACACTTTCAGTTGTGTAGTGGGTAGTACTATCCCAGAAAGTGTGAAGTGTATCCACTCAGCTACTAAGAAGATAGGGTGCAACACTTTGTGGACCTGGCCTGTTTGGGAGTTTAGGGTTGACGGGGCCCTTTGGGGAGTTTGGGTTTAGAGGGCCCTGTTGAAATTTAGGGCTTACAGGGACCGTTTATTTGGAGTTTAGGGTTTAGGGTCTACGGTTTAGAGTTTAGGTTTCAGAAAATTATCGTTTAGGTCTGCAGGGCTCTACTTGCTTAAGACTGTGGCGCTTTAGAGCTGTTGCCAAAATCCCCGCTCTCACAGAGTGGAACCGGCTTCCGGGCAACGGAAGCTCGGGGATACTCCAGAAGGACCCAAGGGGCCGACTGTTGTGAGCCAATCGGCTGTCGGATCTGTAACTCATTTTGAATAAGGTTCCCTTTAAACGTTCCTTGAAAGGGGGCCTGCAAGGGTTACTATGAGGTTTCTATGATATAGGCCAAAAAGTATTGGTAATTATTCAAGCCCCTATATTAGGGTGCAGGGGTTTAGGGGCGTATAAGGCGTGTGTTCAAGTTTGTGGTAGGTAGGGGCTGCTGGTCACTTCAGGCCGTCAACGTCGAGTAGGTCGAACAGCGCTCTCATTGGCTAGGTGTTGCGTTATTTCCGGCTATCATGGTATAACTATACTTGGAGGGTCGGGGGGCTTAACTGGTTATTTTAGGGACTTATAAGTACCATAACCCCAGTTAGGGTAGCTTTTAGGGTACTTATAAGTCTACTTACTACCTACCTACTAAGCCCCCCGACCAGGGTAGCTTTTAGGGTACTTATAAGTCTACTTACTACCTACTTACTAAGCCCCCCGACCCTCCAAGTATGCCTTATGGACTCCGGCCAGACCTGAATATGCTTGTCTTGAGTGCCAAAAGCAAATGCAAGCCTGAGAAGTGCCCCTCATGTTTATGTTGTCTGTGCATGTAGATGTCCACACCTCTGTGTCTGTTAATGTTTTTGATAAAGGTGACGATGGCGGCAGTCATGATAGCACCGATGATGATGATGGTGGTGGTGCTGATGATAGTGGTGATGCTGGCGAAGGTGATGAGTTCGATGAAACGAAGCTGAAGATGAAGATGAACAGCCATCACAAACAATACTACAACAGAACATGACAATAGTAGTAGTAATAATAACAGTCGTAGTACTCGTCCCGTAGTCGTTGTCAATGTCGAAAGGCTAGTGCTAGCGGTAGCGGTAGCGGTGTAGTGATGGTGGTAAAAGGGGGGTGCTGGAATTAGAGCAGTGGCTGGATCCGCGACACTTGCGAGATGAATGGCAGTCATTGACTGAAGCCCTCGTACTAGTACATAACAGCAGCTTAGTAGAACCGGATAATAACTCTAAATCCTAGACCCCTACACGCTGAACCCTAAACCCTAAACCCTAATAACAGCCGAAGGGTCCCGCAACTGGCCACCCGGCCCTGCCCAGCGTTCGCTGGGGGATCATTTACAGTCGAGCAGCCTGCAGAGTTTGGGAACCGGCATAAAGATCGGAGCCTGAAGCCGAAACCCAGGGTTTGGATTTTGATGGGGTTTGGAGGTTAGGGTCTGGGCCGCTGATCCAACCCCAACACCCTATGCCCTAAACCGTAGCCCCGAAGCAAAGCGCAGGCGTCCCAAACAAACGGGGAGAGCGCCCTTGCTTCATCCCGAGCGGTGGGGCCTCTTTGGGGCTGAATTATAGGGGGGTTCAGGGCACAGGAGCTTGGAGTTAGGGTTTATGGTTTAGTAGCCGGGGGGTGCGAGATAGGCTCAGGCGCAAAGAAGCCCATGCACACTCGAAGACATGCCTGTTAGCCGCACAAGGCCCGCCTTCGGCGGGCGCAGCCAAAAAATGCATGCAGGATTGAATTAAGAGTTCTTACTTCTGGGGTTCCCACGGGAGTGTAAACCCTAAACTCAACACTTCAATCCTCGGCTGGGACTTGGTAACCGTTTATAACCCTGCTGCAACGCCTAAGTTTTAAAGCCCTGGGCCTTAAACCTCAAAAACCACCCAAAACCCTTGAATCGAACACCATACACCCGAAAACCCTGCAACTGTCAGCACAAGAACCTTCTCGAACACGTATTTTAGAACCCTTATCACAGAACATCTCTAAAAGCAGTTGAACCGGAAACCCCCAGCTGATTGCTTACAAACAGTTTTGGAAGATCTTGGAGGAGCAGCCGAGGCGGGCTCGGGGGTGATCGATCCGCCCAGAATCAAAGAGCATCATAAGATGTACTATACAGGGTTTTAGGGTTTAGGATTTCAGGCTTTAGGGCTTCAGGGTGAAGGGGTTAACTTGACTTTAGGACTCCAAGGTTTTGGGCCTTTGGATTCAACGTTCATCACAATTAGGGTTTAGGGTTTAGGGCCCCCGACCCTAGGCCACCATCGGCGGCTCGACCTCAACGAATTTGCTTCCCAGTCGGCTTAAAGGTGGCCGATCCTCTTCCACGAACTTGCTCCCCACTCGACTGACCTTGGGCTGAGGGTTCGGGGCTTTGCAGTTTAAACTGCAGGGTTTAAGGCGTTTCTGCTTTCGGCTTATATTGAGGGTTAGCAGTGAGGATGCAAGGGTGTGCTATGATTATACTCAACAGCTCGTACAAGATGTGGGAGACCTGGCAAGGGAAGACGAGAGAACAGTTTAGAGTTTATGGTGCTCCAAAGGGGACAAGCCGGAATCACAGCAAGAGGGGTAGGAGTTTGCATACCATGGAAGGCAACACTGTAGTTGTACTGTGTTACCGTCACTACGCTGCTAAAAGCTGCTAAGACTTTCAAACCCGAAACCCTCGAACCCTTAACTCAAAATTCTAAGCTGATCTGTCATGATTCTCAGAGCTACCTTGGCCCCCAAAGTAAGTAAACCAACGGCCCAAAACCTGTAAAAGGATAGTATTCTACATACTTTTGGGGTCCAGGTATGATAGAAGTCTGAAGACAAACCCAGCCTCTGGGTCACTAGAGAGTGCATAGCAGCCTCTTGCAGCCTGGAAACCTGCCAACACCAACAGAAGCATCTTTCGACGATCCTTAAGTCTTTGGGTTTGGGCTTTAGGAGTTTCAGTTTTTCGGGATAGAAAAGAATTTCAGGAATCTTTGGAACCCTCAACAGCAGGTCCCCCGGCGGGCACGCTCCGCGTCAGCGACTTCAACAGGCCCTCAGCTTTGCTGATCTCAGTCCTGCCGATGGTGACAAACGAATTGGTGATGACAATGACCATGGTGATCATATTTGTGACGATGACGGTGCTGATTCATCTTCGTGGTCAGTGGTGCTGCCTGGAGCTGCTGCCTGCTACGACCCCTCTTCCTCTGCACAATGGAGCCCCAATAATTGATTATCTAAACCCTAGACCCTACGCCCTAAAACTAAAGCCCCAAACCCCAATCCCCTGAACCCTCAATCCTAAACCCTAAACCAAAAAACCCTAAACCATAAAACCCTCAACCCTAAACCCCAACCCTAAACCCCTAAACCCAAAGCCCCAAGCCCTACACCCTAAACGCTGCGCCCTCGCCTCTCTAGTGCCCGGTCGTCCCTGGAGAGTCCTTGGGACGCCTGATTCCTTCGCTTGCTGTATGGCCTGCTCCATCCAGTCTGGGTCCTGGCATCTCAACGGTTTAGGGCACTGAGGGCTAGGGCTTCACGGTTTTAGGGTTTTAGGCCTTTAGGGTTCAGGGTTCAGAGTTTGGGGTTTAGGGAATTAGGGTCTAGGTTGTTAGGGTTTTTTTGGGGCTCCTTTTTCCAACTGATCCGACCAGAAGGTCACATGGACCAGGAGAGGAATCGACTATACATGCCAATCCCGAAAGGAAATGAAGTGGCGAAAACTTCGCTTGCACAGCTCTCACTGCCCCTCATTGACACCCTCACAACCCTCAAGGTTCAGTCTCCTCGTTAGTCCAGGTTGCTAGGGTTTAGGGTTTAGGGTCCTGGCATCTCCCGACAATTCATGGGTTTAGGGCTTTGGGCTTAGCGTCTGGGTTTTAAGGTTTAAAGTGTGGGATAGTGTAGGATTTAATGTTTAGGCTTTCAGGTATACGGTTTATGGTCTAAGGTTTAAGGCCTAGGGTTTTAGGAGGGTGTCGATGATATGGCGACATTGATGATAACTGAGAGCTGCTACTGCCAATATGAACTGGCTGACTCTTAAGTCTTACTGCTGTTACTCTTACTGCTGCCCATGTTGACAGTATGGCGAAAACGCGCAAGTCACCTATCTACAGCTCATGAAAACATGTGACTGCTGGATGCACTGCGCCGGTTACGAATACGGTTGTGATCGTGATGCGCCGACTGTTGATCCTAGCCGTATGGGCGCTGTCAAGCAAATTACGACGGTTGTCCATATCTATGTCAACGTTTTACCGGCAGTATGTTCATGTGCGCCAGCACTAGGTCGTGAGTTGCAAAAACGACGTACAATGAGCTTCGCGCGTTTTATCAATACTGAGTGGTGTTGTTACTGCGAAAGGTGTCGCTGGGGCTCCTACTAGCCATAGTACATCACCTTGGAATGATGTCGGGTGCTGGACAACCCTAAACCCTAGACGACTAAAGTGCGTGGCATAGCCCCCTAAAACCGAAACATGCTACTTGATGCCCCACTGCTTCCACTACAGCTCTCTACAATAAAAAAGGCCCTAATCCAACACCAACAGTCTCAAGCCCGCAGACCCTTCCCGAACCCATATAGAACCTTACTAGAAATAGCTATAAACCTGCACAGGCGCTTAGAGTGCACTTGAAAGGATGATGCCTAGAAGAACTTGGATCCTAAACCCCCCAAAAAGCCCGTAGAGTATCCTTCAAACCATCCCTACTAGAAACCCCCAAGCCCTTCGAGAGGGATCCCTAGAACACCCGGAGGCCTCAGGGCCTCAGGGTATATACCCCTTCAAGGATCCCTAGAAAACCCTGAACCCTAAGCCCTAAACCGCTGTTGACCGCCTTGCCTAAACCTACGAGACTCCTATAAATGAAACCCGATTGCAATAAAGCAGAACCCGAAAATATCCTGAGTTTCCTACAGCAACCTACATGAGCCCCAATCATAAAAAAAGAACCCCAACAACCTGAACCCTTTGTAGGACCCCTTACAGAAAGCCCCTCAAGGAATCCTAACCCCTAAACCCCTAAACCCTACGCCCCAAGACTTAAAGGAACCGTTAAAAGGAGCCCTACACCCTTATACTACCCTTTAAGGAACCCTTTAAGGAGCCCTTATGAAAGGAACCCTAAGAAGAACCCTTAAAAGGAACCCTAGTCCCCAAAGGAGCCTTGCCCCCTAAAGCTACAGGAACCCGAAAAAGGAGCCCTTAAAGGAGCCCTTCAAAGGACCCCCCCAAAAAGGAGCCCTTACACTACGCAATAAGGAACCCTGAGAAGGAGCCCTCAAAGGAGCCCTTTAACCCAAAACCCAAAACCCTAAACCCAAAACCCAAAACCCAAAAACCCTAAACCCTAAACCCTTGAAGGAGCCCTGAGAAGGAGCTCCCAAAGGAGCCTTGCTCTCGATGGCTTCCCGGAGTTCCCGGAGCCCTCGGAGCAGCGCCAGAGCGGCTTCGGCCTTGAGGATCCTGAAGGGAGGGCTCCGGGTTTTAGGGGCTCCTTCTAGGGGTTTAGGGGTAGGCTTCCTTAAAGGGTAGTATAAGGGGTGTAGGGTTCCTTTTAAGGGCTCTGTACAGGGTTCCTTAAAGGGTAGTATAAGGGTGCAGGGTTCCTTTTAAGGGTTCCTCTAAGGGTTCCTTCCTTAAAGGGTTCCTTAAAGGGCTCCTTAAAGGGTAGTATAAGGGGTGTAGGGTTCCTTTTAAGGGCTCCTTACAGGGTTCCTTAAAGGGTAATATAAGGGTGTAGGGTTCCTTGTAAGGGTTCCTTCAAGTCTAGGGGCGTAGGGTTTACGGGTTTAGTGGTTAGGGTTCCTTTAGGGCTTTTCTGTAAGGGGTCCTATAAAGGGTTCAGGGGTTCAGGGTTTAGGGATCCTGAATGGAGGGTTCCTTTAAAGGCTCCTCTAAGGGTACCTTTAAGGCTCCTTAAAGGGTTCCTTGAAGGGTTCCTTCCAGGGTAGTGTAAGGGTGTTTTAGGGGTTTAGGGGTTTGGGGGTTTGGGGTTTAAGAAATCCATTAAAGGGCTCCTCTAAGGTCCTTCAAGGGCTCCCTTAAGGGTTCCTGTAAGGGCTCCTTTAAGGTCTACATCAATTAATACGAATTAATATTTGGGGAAAGACGGTATCCTTTGGTTTAGCATTTCTACAGTCTTTGTTTATCTTCGGGATGGCTTGGGGGGATTTGGGGTGTGGGTGGAGTTGGAGGTTTTGGGAGCTTAGGTTTGGGGTTTCATTGCTTTTTATTTGTAGTGGCTAAGGGTTTATTGTTCAGGGTTGATCCAGTATTACGCAGAGAACGCGCCGCATTTCGAGAGGTTGGCTGGCTCAAGTCTGGCATATGGCCTGTATGAAGCACACGCTCAACTTGGGAGCGTTGACTTTCGACCGAAGGCACTGCAAGGTGGTGTGAGGTGGGTGAACCTGCATAGTACAAGCGACATAGCTCAGACAGGCGGTGTGCATACTCAAACAAGGACGAGGGCTGGGGTTTAGGGTTTAGGGATGGGAGTGTACCTGGTGAGAATCAACCCAGCATTATGCAACATGCACCGGCGGTACGAATTGAGTTGTGCAACCTGCCTGAAAGACGGGGTGGGGTAGCAAAAGCAATGTTGCCGATTTGGGCGATCGGAAGTCCAAGAGTGCTTTAAGTGCTTCAGGAAGCCACCGACCCCTACAGCAACCAGACCCTGCAAAAAGTCTGAAGCAAAGCGAACGATTTATGAGGCGGTTGTGCCTTTAAGCTGGTGCTACTACTTATCCTCATATTAACCATACTGCAAGTACGACCACAACGAGCACTGCGACGACGATGGAGGCGATGGCAAAGTTTTCTCGTGTCGTTGTGGTTCTTTCTTCTGCTGGTTGCTGGTGCTGGTGCTGCAGCGGCTAATGAAAACATCACTTACTGCTTATACTTGCTGCACGACTTGCGACATATCGCCAAGCAGCTTACGACGCCAGGAGAAATGCTAAATCTCACAGAGCTTTACTAGTAGGCATCTCTGTCCAAACACTTGAGCCTTTAACTTCGAGGCCCTCGTAATTAGAACAGGGTGTTGGGGCATGATAAAGAATAATTAAACGATTAAGGACAACAAGGGTATGTTCCTAGATTAATATTACTAACCATTTCGATCTCGATGTCAATTTGAGAGTTGAGGGCTGCTAGGCTTAAGGGAGCTGGGTCTGTCCGGCCTCTGGCGCTCTGCGCCGCTCTTGTTGGCCTCAAGCTGACATTGCTGACGGTGGCAATAAAACAAGCCACTAAATTCCGGACTTCATGCCACCAAACATGCTATGAAACAATGCACATACCAGGAACGGCAAGAGCGATGACGATAACGGCGGGGAATAACGATACCATGCTAAGATAGCAAGAGTTCTGGCAGCATTCTGGTCAACCCACATTCCGCATGCACCCATCCAAAACCTGCAACGAGGGGCCGCGCTTGCATGCCGATGGCCGGGCATGGGGTCGCATTGGGGGACCGTGGAAGACGGAGCCGATCGAGGACTTGGGGCCAACCACCAGGCACATGGGCGAACGGTTTTCATACCATATCAGATCGAACCGCATCAGAGCGGACCATATCATACCACATCCTATCACTTTGGAATACATTAGAACCCTGTACGTTACACCAGATGATGACAACAGATAACGTATACAACTGGCCTCTTCCAGTGCCGCGACCAGCTGCTCCTCGCCTTTGGTTACTTCTTGCTGAGGTCCGAGGCATTGAATTTGTTCTTGAAGGTTATGGGCTTCTATACACCATTTTTATATACACACACACATGCACATACATGCATACACGCATACGTGCATATTTATACATACACACAAATACAGGTTGATGGATAGCAAGCTAGTTAGATCTAAAGATAGCTAGATTGTTAGACTCATATAGACCGGTAGATAGGTTGATACATAGATTGATTGAATAATTGCTTGATTGACGAATGTAGATGTAGAGACATATAGATACATAAGCGGGTGGATAGAAGTTAGATAGGTAGATAGATACACAGATAGATAAACAAAGATTTGGATGTCGATGAAGATAAAACATTGAGTACAGGCATAGACAGATAGAGGTAGAGTCATAGATGCAGCGCTTTGGATTTAGGGCTTCAGATTTAGGTAAATATATAAGGGCCTAGAGATTTTTCACTACGGTCTTCGAACCCACACTTGTCGCCCTGAGGAATAGGGTTACGTACCCAGAGCTAAGGGTTTCGGGTTCAGGGCTTTATCGGAGAGCCCACAAAGGATTCTGACTTTAGGGTCTGCAGGTTCTTAGAGGATCTCCATAAAGGTGTACCCAAGGCATGTAAGTAACTTAGAAGGGCGTCACTGCCCTAAACCCTAAACTCTGAACTACTAAACACTAAACCCTTAACCCTAAACTACTAAACACACAAAACCCTAAACTCTGAAACCCTGAACTACGAAAACAAAACACTAAATCCTAATCCCAAAAGGGCTGCCTTTCAGGGCCAGGAGCTTCGGGGATGAGGGACTGAAGAATGAAACACCGTGCTTCAGGGACTGGGGGTTTGGGTTGGTTTAGGGTTTAGGGTTTTGGGTTCAGGGTTTTAGGGTTTTGGGTTTAGGGTTTAGGGTCGGTTCAGAGCTTTTGGGTTTAAGCTCTAAGTGGGGTTTAAGAACTTAGGGGGAGGCTGTGCAGCGTATCACTTTAGTACGAGTTTAGGAGTTTAGGGCAAGGGTGTATCATTGAAGTTTTTGGGGTGTTGGCATTAAGGTCAAGATTATCTATGAGCTTGTTGCTACTTAAGGAGCTGTTTCAATTGGGGGCAGCCGTTGGGAAGAAGCCTCCGATGCTTTGCTGCTTCCGAACCCCACGCAACCCGAAACCTGAACCCGAAACTCCTGAACAGCAAAAGCTCCGCTGAAAGCCCTTACACAACCAACAAACCTGATAGTTAAGGCACTGAAAATCAAGGAAATCTACCAGAATCCGACGCACCCATAAACCCTGCAAAAGCCCAAAGACTCTCATAGAATCCTTACAGAACCCAAACGAATCCCGCATCACCAACACCAGGACGCTCTGTATTAAGTATATAATATATAGTAACCTTATAGTAACTCTCGGAGGAATTTTGTAGTAACTCTAAGAGGAGCCCGTTAGAGTCACTTTGCCAGGACGCTTTTCGAGACGATGGCCAGGCGGAGGTTCTCGTCCGCTTGGATCTTCGACAGCAGCTGTTCGCCTTCTTCAGGCTATGGGTCCCTAAAGGGTTCCTTAACTAGACCTAAGAGTAACCTAGGAATAAAAAGGGTGCCCTTTTTGGCTTAAAGGGGTTTATAAGGGAACCTGAACCCTAAAAAAAGGGAATAAGGGCCTACTCTGGGTCCTAGTTAAAGTGTTTGGGGTTTAGCTTGGGGGTTCAGGGGTTAGGGTTTAGGGCTTCAAGGGTTCATGGTTTAGGTCTGAAGGGCTTGGGATGGCCGTTGTAGAGGGCTTTTCTTTGATGGCCGCATCAGCATTCTGTAGGATTGTATTTGGTGTTGCACTGGTTTTAGAAAGGTTGCTTTACATGAGAATCCGCGAAATTTCAGCACTGTCAAAGCACTTTTAAACCCTGCTAAACACTCTGACGCAAAAACCCTATGAAAACTACCAGCCGCAATCGAAAATCTCGCTAAATTGCCGTAACACCGCGAAAACCCCTACAACATCTCCTTCGCAAAACCAGCATTATAAACCCCAAACTTAAAAAATGATTCTACAGAAAGCTCCTGGGCAATTGTTACCTCAGGGTCATGTTAGTAGTATTGCTAGAACTAGTATTCTTGTTACGAAATAACTATACCATTATTCATTCTTCCTCGTAGAGTCTTTTGAATACTGGAGGCCCTAAACCCTGACTATCTGATCTTGCTATGTTGCACTACTGTATACGAGTATGCTATGATAGGCTGTAATTTACTATCATAATATGCGCTTATCAACCCTAATTGTAATTCACCATGACGTGTAGAATAATCTAAAAGGAAAGACTCTTCACATATTTTTCGCAATTAACTAATAATAACAATATTAATAATAAACAAAAAATTCACTTAGCACACCTTCGCCCTGGGGCCTTGCTCCACCTCTTCGGTCTCAATGTGCCAGGTCTTCGCCTTCGTCAACACGGCCTGAGAAGCACGGTTTAGGAGTCATGAAGGGTTTTGGGGTGTAGGGGTTTAGGGTTTAGTTCGGGGTGTAGAGGTTTAGGCTTTAGGTTTATTTCAGGGTTTGGGGTTAGGTTTTTGAGGGGGTGTTGTGTAAATGCTTCTTCGTTGTGTGTGTGTGTGTGTGTGTGTGTGTGTGTGTGTGTTTCAGTCGTTTTGGGGTTGTCGTTGCATTTAGTCCTTTTGTTGCCTGTCGTGCAAAAACCCCTTCTGGAGCGTCTCTAGATTGTAAGCATTGGGGGGGGCGGAAGGGGGGGTGCAGGACATGGCTTGCGTATGCATGTATGCATGTATATACATACATCATACGTACATGCTTACACATAACTACAGAAATGCATACACATGCTTACATGCATACATACGTACATACATACATACATACATACATACCGACATACTTGCATTTGCGTACTTACTTGCTTACATGTTAGCACATATATATGTATATATACACACTACACACATCTGTCCATCCATCCAGCCATACATACATGTGCATATATACATATACGACATACAGTAGAAGCCAGAAAGTTGGAACATGGCTTTAGGAGGATTAGAGCTAGGATCCCTTATACTTTACCTTAAGGGCATGAGGAGTCTGATGTTCCAACTTTCTGGCTTCTACTATATACATGCAACAAAACACAGATATAGACAGATAGACAACTACAAGGATAGATAGATGGATGCATGGATGGATGGATCGATCGATAGATCTGTAGAGCGTGAGGCCAATAGTTGAATAGGTCGATCGGTAGACCGTTAGATCGATAGCCCAACCGATACAACGACAATAGCTATCTAGCTATCTAGCTATCTGGCTTTCTAGCCATCGAGCTATCTATATAGATAGATCGGGAGATAGACAGATAGATAGACTTAGAAGGATGGCCTCAGCGTTTCACCTCAAAACCTACATCTGGTGCACGCACCTAAACCTAAAATATCTAAGCCGTAAGCCCTAAACCCGTACAGTAGAAGCCCCAAAGTTGGAAACCCAATAGCCACCTCAATCCTTAAGAGTAATGTAAAGGGAGTTCCAGCTCCTTTTGGCCTGAATTCGGTTTCCAACTTTATGGGGTTTACTGTAATGCACTGGGGATCCAAGGACTCATATATTAAGGCTTTTGACCATACTATGTAAGGCTTTTGAGCCATTTTGATCCTTAGGGTAATGCGCTAAACCCTCGGACCTTAACTGAGTCATCGGCTTTCAGCTTCTGCTGATCTTTGCTGCGAATGGCCCGCGGAAGCTGCATGTCCACCTTGCTGTTTTAGCCCATGATTAAGGGTTTAGGGGTTTAGGGTTTAGGGTTTAGTGGCCCATTACAGAACCCTTATGCAGCTCGCATCGAAACCCTTATCTATAGCCCCCTTAGAACTATAATACAAATAATATTTTCAATATTCTCTTGGGTTTTATATGAATGGAAAGAAAAACTCATTCCTAAATTCCTGAGGAGATTCTAGCTATGATGCCCTCATAAAGCCTCCCACAGGCCTCGAGGATGACCACGAGGTGCTCCGCCTCTTTGATGGACTCCTCGTGGGTGCTGCCTCGAGGCCAACTTTTCAGGCTTTTGGTGGGTTTAGGGGGCTCAGAGGTTGGGATATTAGGAGTTCAGAAGTTTAGGAGTTTAGGTTTGTGAGTTTAGGGGTTTAGGGTTTAGGGTTTAGGGTTAGGGGTTGGGGTTTGCTTTGGGGCAAGAGATTTTAAGGGCGAGCTGGGGTTGTGGGCCTAGTGACCTAGTGTGTATTCCCAGGCCTGATGAGAGCTAACTGGAGTTGCTTTGGGGATATGGGAGTTTCCGAAGTTAGGGGACCCTAATTTGGTACCCTGAATAGTAGGATCCTTATTATAAGGACCCCAGAATCAGGTACCCCTAATTTCGGACACTCCCACATGTTACAGGGGCAGATGGGTGTATTGGTGAGGCGAGAGGGGGCCCGTACTTTTGACATAGTCAGGGATGGTATTCTCGGATGCCCAGTAGCCTAGGAAAAAAAGGGCTCCCTGTTTTGTATTGGGTAACTTTATAAAGAAACCTGGGACTACAAAAGGGAATAAGGGTACTACTGGGCATCCTAGTATTGCGAATTCTTCAGATCCCTGTTGACAGTAGGAGAGATCAGGCGCGTTGGTTAGAGCAGCCGCGGGGGGCCGCAGTTCCGTGCCTCTGGCGCTGGAAGACCATCAAGCTCAAACAGCGGCACAATTCAACACGACAAATCACCAAGCCCTATAGCCTGGGGCCATCCAGATCCAAGAGGCCTTATACCCGAAGACTGCTGCACCTCAGCCTACAAAGAATGTCTTTCAGCTTGCATCCTAACCCACCGCATGCAAGCCCCGATAAAAATCGGTAGCCCATCTAGAATCAAAAAACATATACAGCACGACGACATCCTTCCAACCTCAGTGTACGTAACCCTGCAAACCCCGGATTAGAGAACACGACTTGGGAGTTTCCGAAAATAGGGACCTTAATATAGTACCCTAAATAGTAGGATCCTTATCATAAGTACCCGAAAACAAAGTACCCCTGATGTTCGGAAACTCCGACTTCTAGTCATTCTAGTCCCTGCTGTTGAGAGTCTTCTTGCGCCCAAACTCAAAAGCCCTTGGGTAGAACCCGGTAACATCGAGGCCTTCATCTTTAGAATAGGGTTTTGGGATAATTTATGCTGTGCTCATATTAAGGAGCCCCCAAAGTGGTATTGGTAATTATTAAAGCCCCTATGTTAAACCGCCAACCCTGAACCCTGAACGAGCTGAGGTTTTGGCGCCCCTCTGCATACTCCGGGTTGAGCCTCACGGCTTCATCTGAGCCTCAAGGACACATAGGCAGGCACTCTGGTAACATCGGGGGCCGTCATAAGTAGAGTACAAAACGTCTAATGAAGAACCCTGAGGAATAGCAGTATTACACCGACCCCGACCCTCATATAACTGTTTATGTGCACATGCGTGCTGCTCACCGTCTGCGCTGAACGAGGGCGCGACGCTTTGCGAGTTTGATGGCTTTCAGCAGCGCTCCAGTCTCCTGTCAGTGCTGGGAGCATTCCTGGGTGAGGTTTTGGAGGATCGGCCCTTCAAGAAACCACGCGTAGCTGTTCTTTACTGAAGCTGAAGCGAGGTTGTGAACTCCGCACCATGCAACACAGACACAAGAATGGTTCCGCTTCTGTTCTCGGGTTCCGTTTGGTGTTTTCCCCATTCACTCTGCCATTCTGGTTTAAGCCTGCAGTGAGCAAACACCGGTAGCGGAAGGAGGACCATTGCCACTACCACTATCGCCACCACTACCTCTAGCACTACCTACCAGTACCACGACGATGAAAACTACCACTACTTCTTGTACTACTACTCTCCCTGAACCCTAAACCTCTGAACCCTAAACCCCTGAAGCCTAAACCCCTGAACCCTAAACCCCTGAACTCGAAACCCCTGAACCGGGACCCTAAACCCAGAACCCTAAACCCCTGAGGCACAAAGCAAGCCAGATCTCCCTAAACTCTAAACTCTGAGCCCCTAAACCCTAAACCCCTAGACCCCTAAGCCCTAAACCCCTAAACGCCAGATCTCCTGGAGGTTGATGGCCGTCCGAAGGCGCTCTTCGACCTCGTCCTTGGGCGGCTTCTCCTCGAGAATTCCCCGAGCTCTCCCAGCCTTTAAGGGGTCCTTCAAGGGTGCCCTTTAAAGGGGTCCGCCCTTCGGGGGCCTTAAGAATTAGAATAGGATTCCCTTTAAAGGGATCCTTTAAAAGGTGTCTCTAAGGGATCTATAGTAGGGTTCTATGATATAGGGGCCTTAAGAATTAGAATAGGGTCCCCTTTAAAGGGGTCCATAATAAGGGCTACTATAGGGGCTACTGTAGGATTTAGTTTAGGGGGCCTTAAGAATTACAATAGGCTTCCTTTTAAGGGTGTGCCTCTAAAGGGATCCTGCACCGCCGAAGGGCGCTTAGGTGCAAAGGTTGCTAGATGGTGGGAAAGCTTAATAGGGTTTAAGGGTTTGAGGCTTAGGGTGTTCCAACGGCTTGGGGTTGAGGGTTTAGGCTTTAGGGTGTTTAGGTATTCTAAAGTTACGTCAAAGTTGTTTACAATACCTACTACTTGGCTTCTAGCTTGTACTATAAAGAAAGCTGCGAGGTCTGCCGTTAATTGCATGCAAACCCTACTCGTCCAGTATCCTGGGGTAACAAAAGGTTCATGGAAAGGTTTGCCTTTGGGATTGCGTGGGGAGCATAGTAGTCCAAGAAGGTTTAAAGGTTACTCACCCTACTGTAGGATCAGGGGTCCAAGAAGGGTTACTAGAAGGCGTGCCCTAAGCCGTCCATGTTCAGGCACATAGGGTTCAGATCTCAAGCTTTGAGGACCAGCTGCTCCGAAACAAGGCCGCGAGCTTCCTGATACCCTTCCGCACCCCACTCCGGGGCACTGGTCAAAGTGAGCACGAACCCAGACAGTGCCATGGCACAGAACGTGCAAGCACTGGTCTCTGTTCGCAGTATTCCCTCAACCCTGAACCCTTCAGATAAGAGCCCAAACGGCCGACAACGGCAGCGCATTCGCTGCGGCTCCAGACGCTGTTCCTGTCTTGCTTCGCTGGAAGCCGACATGAACACTTCACCGTGCGGGCTTTTTCAAACTACAGATCCCTAAACCCAATCCCTAGCCCCTAAAGCTTTAAAGCCCTAAGACCGATCCCCTGGCCTGCACAAGGAAGCAGGAAGGCTTCTGATCTAGGTTTAATGGCTTCGGGCTTAAGGGCTTAGGGTTTAGGGATTTAGGAGTTAGGGTTCACTTACCTTTGGTTCGTAGGGAATGGAGAAATGGGGTACAATTATAACTACTATAACAACCATTCTTCCATTCCCTACTAACCAACGGTAAGTTCAGGGTTTAGGGCTTCTCCTTGATGTTCTCGCGCTCCTTGGCCTTTTCTTGCTCCTCGGGCAGGCAGCCATCAAGCGAACAAGAGGGGGATCTCTGCTTCCACATAATATGTTGCACATTTTCTTTAGGCCTTAGGCAACCCGAAACCCTAAACCCTAAACCCTAAACCCTAAACCCTAAACCCTAAACCCTAAACCCTAAACCCTAAACCGCGGCCTTAGGGCCTTTAAGGTTTCACTTTCAATCTTTATTCCCGCCAATATTCTGGAACCTTTCGAGGTTCAGGTTTATTCGTCCCTTTAAAGGCTACTGTAAGTTCCTTTAAGGGTCCCTTTAAAAGCTTACCATAAGTTCCTTTAAGGGTTCCTTCTAAACGGCTTCTACAAGTTCCTTGAAGGGTCCGTGTTCTATCTCGTTCAGACAGAGGTGCGTCCTCGCAGGATTTGTCTCTGGGAATGAAGCAGAAGGGAACCCTAACATACGGGCCTCCATAATTACCTATACTATTTTGGGGGCTCCTTGATATAATTAGTACACCCTATTCTAACCATTCAGGCCCCTAACAAAAAACAAAGAACTACGAAAGCCGACAGAAACCCTAAATCCATACACCCTTAACCTAAAGCCTGCAAGACTAAGAACCCGGTTTAGGGTTGAAGCCGCAAACCTCCGAACCGAAATCTAAACAAGGACATTGCTTTTTGCGACACTACAGAACCATAATAACAGTATTGTTCTTAAAATCCTCTTCTAAGGAGCCTATAGCAATTATTGTTATTGTTATTTTTTTTGCTTCTAAGGAGATTATAGCAATTAGTTTTGTTATTTTTTTGCTTCTAAGGAGACTGTAAACCCTAAACCCTAAACCTATAGGGCAAGGCGCGACGGCAAGGATTTGCTTCGCTTCCTCGATGTCGGCTGCAGGTAGCCCAGCCTCAGACATGAGGATGCGGCCCCGGGTTTTGGGTTTTAGGGTTACTTAAGGTGTAGGGTTTAGGGTTATGTAGGGTTCAAGGTTTTGGGTTTAGGGTTACTGTACTTACAGCAAGGTGTAAGGCATAGGGTTATATAGGGTTATATAGGGTTTAGGGTTTAGGGTTACTTAAGGTGTATGGTTTAGGGTTATATAGGGTTTAGGGTTTAGGGTTACTTAAGGTGTAAGGCTTAGGGTTATATAGGGTTTAAGGTTTAGGGTTTAGGGTTACTTATTGCGTAAGGCTTAGGGCTATATAGGGTTTAGGGTTTAGGGTTTAGAGTTTCTTCTTACTCTTCTTGCTGTGTCAGTGCTATCGTGCGCATTCCTCTGCCTTCCCTGAAATTATCTAATTCCTCAATCCGAAACCCCAACAAGAAGGGGCCTTGTGAAACTCTCTTGGAAGGTCGAAGCTTGATTTTGGCAGGTTCGGGCTAGGGGTGTAGGGTTTATAGGGCTCTTTGAGGTTTGCGCTTGGGGTTTAGAGTCGAGTCTGGATGTTGATTTTGTAGGCTTACTTGGAGGGTCGGGGGACTTAGTAAGTAGGTAGTAAGTAGACTTATAAGTACCCTAAAAGGGACCCTAATTGGGGTTATGGTACTTATAAGTCCCTAAAATAACCAGTTACTAAGTCCCCCGACCCTCCAAGTAGGGAAACGGCAGCCGAGCTTTTGGAGAGGTCAGAGCTTCCAGAGATTCAGATACTGCGGTCCAGCCCGTAATGTGTAAGGGCCCCTTAATAGCAAGAGTAGGGCTTTCGGGTATGCTATACAATGCTTCTATTAGCGACGACATGCGATACTGCAACTGATTCTGCGGACAACTAGACTTTAAAGCTGAACCGTGATTCCTAAACCCTAAACCGAAACTCTTGTGTAAGTCCAGCCAAGCCAAGTCACACTCACCGCATCCTCAACGGCCTGCGTCAGCTTGTCGACCTTTCTGGATATAAAGAAGCCTAGATATCTTAAGTTTAGGGTTTAGATGGGCGCAGTTTAAGGTTTGGAGGCCTAAATATACTAAGCTTGGGGTTTAATTAGATGGGCTTAGCTCACGGTTTATAGATGGGCTTCGTTTAGGGGTTTGACTATCTTTGGTATTGTCATTGCTGATATTATTCTTGCTGGTATTATCAGTACTACTATGAGCTTTACTATCATTATTCCCAGTGTTACTATTACTATTAGTACTACTACTTTTACGATTTATTTATACTGCTATGACACAATACCATTACTCCAATAGTTATTACTGCTTGCGGCATTCCAAAAGCTGCTACTGTTGCCGATGCTAGTGCTGGTACTGGAAGTCATGCCATGGCCTCGGCACAACTAACTTTGAATCAGGGCGTCGGGTTTAGAGATTCTACTGCGTTGCAACTCACACCACTCAAACACAATTTCTGATGCGGGTCGTCGCAATAAAGATCATTATCCTTGCTAATATGGCTTCCATTGTTGTCATCTTGTACTTTATCCAAAATGCATGTGGGTGATCCGCAAGCTGTAAGCCGCAAAGCCAGAACCCCAAATCGTAAGCCCCCAACACCCAAAAGCTGAACGGCTGTAAGCCCTACACCCTAAACCACAAAAACCACAAACCTCCCAAATCCTGAAGTCCCGAAACTAAACCCTACACCCCACCTCCCTGCTGTTCATCGCCGCTATGAGGGCACGCTCGGCGGTCGACTTCTCAAGCAGGGATTGCGCCTGGTCAAGTTTTGGAGCCCATTATACAACACTTATAACAAGGAACCCCCAACATAGTCTAAGTAATTATTAAGGCCCCCATTGTAGGGGCCTCAGAAAAGGGATTTGCTGCAAAAGATGGCATTAGGAACCCCAAGGCCACTGTGTACAAAATCTGTGGTGAAGGCTTCCTTTGGAGACTCGATGACCTGGAAAAGCTATGATCCAACATCACAGTTGAGTGTATTTGCGGGCGTGTGTGCAAACATGTACATGTGAGTCTAAATGACCATGGCATAAGAAGCTGTAAATAAGAACAGCAAGCAGCTCGACATACGCGTTGTAGACAGATAGATCCATAGACTCCAGATAGATACATAGATAGAAAGAGAGGAAGATAAAACAAAAGATAGGTAGGCATGCACATACACGCACAATCACAGCGTAGTCCAATCTGGTACTTCACATCGGTGTGGAATGCCTACAGGTACATTAACGATGATGATGTTAGTGGTGGTGATGGTATTGATGATGATGCTGATGACGGTGATGGTGTGGTGATGATGGCGGTCATGATGATGTTGATGATGATGGTGATGTTGATGACGAAGATGATGATGATGAAGATGATGATGATGATGAGGGTAGTGCCGCTGCTCTGAGTCATATGAACAGACCAAGCTCACCGACTGTTATTGATGTTGATGATGTTGGTGATGATGATGATGGTGATGGAAAGCTGATGTTTCTCGCATTATTGCTGCATCAGAATCATGGTAGCCACAAGTTCTCTCATCTTTCCTCACTCTGCATTTGCTGACACAGCAGCACCTACGGCCCTACGGAATCCCTGTCCGGACCTTGGAGCATGGTGGACTCGAGGGTCTACATGATGGCCACCGTTTTAAAGTTTATGGGTCTTCCTACCACCACAAGGAACCCTAATCTAGCTCATGGTTGGGATAGCATTAAAAGTTTAAGTACCAACAAACAAAGTAAAATGTTACCCAGCTATGATAAAGTAATGACGAACTGTATGACTCGATGATCGAAAGACTGCGCCTGCTTGATCAGCTCATCATCCGCTTTTCTGAAGACTGCCATATCGATGCCTCGGCTGCACAAGTCGACAGACCGCAAAAACAGTGGCACACCGCGGGTTATAGAGGCCTAACATATGAGACAGTTTGTTTGACATATGAGACAATCTGCAATTGTTCTGTGGTTTGCTAGTCTAAACTAAACACACAAATCCCACAGACACCGTCAACTTCCCACTTCCGATGCTCTAAGAATCAGAAGCACAACGGTTCTGCCTGGCGCGGCCAGCGTACAAAAGGGACGCTCTTGTCATTCCAACCGTGTGACCATAGGAGCACCATCCACACGACTATTGCCAATATCCAAAGTGCGCAGGACTACGAATGAGCGCAAAAACAATACTCAGCACGTATTCCATATCGGTCACCAATCGTGCGTCTCTGGGGGGGCGGGGGCGTGCCAATTGGACTCGGGTGCCGGGGTACATTGTCCTATGAATCAATGAAGACTTGTACTAGGAATTCTTCAGGTTCAGGTTTTTGCCCTGTTGCCCGCTTGACGATGATGTCGAAACTCAATAGCAAATTGCTACTGTCATCATCCTTACAACAACTAGCTGCTACGATTACTGCCAGTACTACTACTACTACTACTACTACCACCACTACCACCACTACCACTACCCACTACCCACTACCACTACCCACAACCCACTACCACTACCACTGCCACTGACTACTAGTGCTAGCTTAGATCATGAACCGGAAACCCTGACCCGAAACCACCGTCACAGAACAAGCTAAATCCTAAACCTGAATCAGTCCGCAACCCTCACGCTTCAACCTTAAACCGTCAGAGGAATGTCAATCTAGGGTTCTGAACCCCAGATCCCGAATGTCCGCAATAGAAGCGCCTTGGTAATCCAAACCGGATTTGGAACTATATCTACTATTTGTTTATGTTTATGTACATAGACGGATATGCAGATATGTATAAAAATATACACACCCATGATGCGAGTAAGAACGCCTAAGGATGCCTAAGGCATCGTACGGGCGCCGGGGGTTTCTCAGCCCACAACACCTGATCTCAGCCCACCCCATGGCACACCGCTCAGCCCACAGTAAGAGAACTCAGCCCAAATTCCGCTCACCCATGGCACAGCGGCAAACAAAACAACATGCTACCTCGAAAACTGCCTCTAGTTGGGAATTAGCACTTTTGTACTACTTTCCAAGGCACAGCCACAAAGCCGAATTTGAAAGATCAAACACAGAAAACAGACACAATGCAGCCAGTGCCTTGCCTACACAACGTCAGAGGCTCTTTGAAGTGGCGTTTACGCACAGCTCCGATGCTTCCCCAGCGGCACAGCGGTTCATTCAAAATCATCGATCATATGCTCAATATTGACTATCGACATCTGCAGAGGTCAACAAAAGTAATAGCAGCCACAGCAAATGTGGATACGGCCGACCTATAGATCTTTATCGTGATTTGCCACCTTTAGACACGAAATGTTGATGTGCCTTGACGTTCCCTGTCTTTCCACAAATGTTTGTTCAATGATGCCATCGCAGAAGGACTACCGGAAACCCCATGTCACAGCGAGATTGCGCTAAGTTCCCGTGGTTGGGTCGGGTAACCCCCTACACCCAGCATTGAGTTGTATTGAAACTCTTCCGGCTTCTAAACGAACCTCGAGGAGTTAGGATTAGGGAGAATCTTGGGGATATAGACCCGCTCAATAAGGTCCCTTTCAAGAGATCCAGAAGTAGAGTTAAGCAGGGTTCCCTTTAAGGGGTCTACCTGACACTATCCAGGAACCTCGAGCAGCCGAGCCGAGGCACATTTCTGCAGATGCCCAGTCACGTTGTTACGCATTGCTATTCTGAGCATCTCCTCGCGCGGCCGGGTGAGTTCCCTTAAAGGGCTCCTTTCAGGGTTCCTCCAATGGTTCCTTTAAGGACTCCTTTAAGGGTTCCTTTAAGGGCTCTTTGGGGGCACTCTTAGGACTGCAGAAGTGGGAATCCTTATTGCTTGGAGTACAGGCCTTGAACACAGGGTGCTGCGATTGGGGCATGGGGGCCAGAGGGGTTCCGTAAGGGTTCACGCTTGTGGTGTTCATGGGCCAAAACCCCAAAAAGCCCTAGACCTATTGCCTCAGCACTGAACCAGAAGCCCTCGATCCTAACTCATCCAAAGCCTAAACCCCTAAACCCCAAATCATTCTAACCCCTACACCCGAGGCGTCTGAATGAAGTCCGGAACCCTGAACCCACTCTCCCCTAACTCAGAGAACGGATCCAACAAGTAGATCCCTTAAAGGGTTTAGGGTTCCTGTAGGGGCTTAGGGTTCCTATAAGGTGGTCCCCAGAAGTACTCTTTAGTAGTACAGAGTCCCAAACTAGGGGATCTGCTTTGTTGATCCTCCTGAGGGTCTTGGAGCCCTAGTCCCCCCAAATCAATGAAAGCCCTAAACAATCCTAAACCTCAAAAACCATAAACCCTAAACCCCAAGCCCCAAACCCTAAAACCAAAACCTGAAACCCTGAAACCCTAATCCCCGAAATCCTAATCCTAATCGACCCCTGACCCTCCACTTTTTAATAATTAGAATAGGGGTTCCCTTTACAGGGGGTCTATAGTTCCTTTAAACAGGGGTCTATAACGGTAACATAACTTTTCTGCCTGACCCTTCAGAACCCCTATAGAACCCTTATGGATCCTTTCAAGGAGCCCTTATCGCCCCATTGAAACGAACCGCCCTAAAGCCTGAAATCTTAATCAACACCTTTTTGCTGCCTCGGTGGTGAGGACTTCAAGGCGCTTCTTCGCCGCCGCCAAGGTGGCGGAGTCGATGCCCAGACCTCTAAGATTTACGGGGTTTTAGGGTTTTGGGGGTTTAGGGTTATAGAGTTTTTGGGATTTTGGGGTTTAGGGGTTTAGGGTTTAAGGGGAATTTATAGAGCTTTTGCAAAGCTTACAGATTGCTAGTTTTGTGTTACGGGCTTTGCAAGGTTTTGTAACGGTTCTGATAAAGTTTCTAATCTGCCTTCATATTCGGAATGCGGTTGCACAAGCGTTTCAGAGGGGTTCTGTAGGTTTCGGTGTTTGCACGGCTTAACTCAGGAGCCTGTGACATGGTAGGAGTTGGGTGAGTTCGCCTTGCTGCTTCATCTATACTTAAAGGATCATGGGACTTAGTAACTAGGGTTATAATTAGGGTAACCCAATTAGGTAGGGTACTTATAACCTTACTTCCTAAGTCCCATGATCCTCCAAGTAGGGACACCGGCAGGCATGTGCATTATTCAGACCTCTTATCTGGCCAGGGACTTGGGGCCTTAATTCCTGTGTGTACTTGAGGGTGTAGAAGGCCGTATACAGGGCTGCTGAAGAGTTTGATCGTAAGGGTTGATGACGGCTTCGAAGTGCGTGATAAGACCGGACTTAGCTGTTCGTATGAGCCTCTCTCGAAACTCTGTCGGACCCCAACATTGCTGACGAAGCGCGCGAAGCCCGCATCACCGCAGACCGCAGCGTTTCTGCATCGTGGGAGGCAGCGGCCCTCTCTACCTAGGGAAAGGCGCCCATAGAGGGCTGTGGAAGGTGCCGAAGGTTCAGTGCGGGTGCAATCGTGAGTCAGCAGGGAGTTTGTGGAACCGAGCCCAGACCCTGAACCTTGTATAGTAGAAGCCAGAAAGTTGGAACATCATTATCCTCATAGCCTTAATGTCAAGTATAAGGCATCCTAGCACTAATCCGCCTAAAGCCATGTTCCAACTTTCTAGCTTCTACTATAGAGGCCTGTATACGGATGTAAGCCTTATAGGATTTGGGCTATCTAGGTTTGATGGGCTCCAATTGATGTTGTGAAGCCTGCCACTTGCTGAATGCAAAGAGCTACAATGAAATTTCGAGCAAGTGCATTCCTTGAGCACCGATAAACAGGAAAAGGCTCTATGGAGTTTTAAGTTCAGGGTGCAAGACTCGAGGCTGCGGAGCTAAAACCATCCTTAAACATCCTACAACAAAACTGACCCGACATAGGGGTCCGAGTAGTCAAATTAGTGTGTTGGATGGTTTTGGTGGGGTCCAAACTGAATTGAATTCACGAGTCAGCAGAAAAAAGATTTGGCAATTAATCATGTAGTTCAACTTCCCTGAACACACTCTGTTGTATTACCGCAATAAATGACGGAGTGCATCAGGACCTTACAGAAACCGTAGGTTCTGGTAGGTTCAAGTCGCACAAGGTGCAAAGATGAGCGCTTGCGAAAGTGTCAGGATTCATTATTCATTGGGTGGCTTGGTGGCATGATAAACAACCAAACTTCAAAAGCTCAAGCACTCCAGGCGTCGCCTAATCCCGAATGGCCCAAAAGAAGTCAGTAGGAAACTCCTAGACCTCCATCTAGGGTGGCAGCTTCCTTATAATCTGAGAGCCATGCCATCTCTTGCATGTAGAGCTTCTGCAACCTAAGTCGTTGCACCCTATGTAGAAGCTTGACAGCTTGAGATGATTTCCAGCACCGCTCCCTTTGTGATCTATGAAGGTTTCTGTTTCTGCTGCTGCTGGTGGTGATGACGATGACGATGCCGGTGACTCGTGTTGGCACTATCATGATATAGGGGCATTAATAATTATAATGGGGTTTTGGAATATATTAAGGAGTCCCCAAAATAGTATTGGTAATGATTAAGGCCCCTATCATATTCTACTTCGGTGTTGTCGTTGTCGCTGCCGCAGTTGCGCCGCGGCACTGCTGCGGCCGTGACTGTGGCCGTGGCCGTGGTTGTGCCCTTCGCTCTGTAGGGTTGGGGGTTGAGGTGTAGGGTTCTGGCCCGAATGCCTTGCAGAAAACATTCTGCAAACATTCCAGAGCCACATAGAACCGCTTAAGAACACTAAGGTCTGCTACCCCCCTCCCAACCCTAGGTTACCCTAAAACCCTGAACCCTAACCTGAAAGGTAACAGTTAAACCCTACACCCCTAAACCCCAAAACCCTGAACGCCTAAAGCCTAAAGCCGAAGCCCCAAACCCTAAAACCCTAAAGCCTAACCCCTAAACCCTACAAACCCTAAACCCCTAAAACCCTAAAACCCTAAAGCCTAAAACCCTAAACCCTAACGCCCCAGAGCCAAGCAGCTGAAATTCAGCCTTGACGAGTCGTGAGCTGGGTGTGCCCGCTCCTTGCACTTCGGAAGGGCCCCACAATCCCAAAGAAAAAGGCATCACGTAAGTATCTAGGTGTGTATATCTATATCTATCTATCTATCTATATATATAATATATATATATATATATATGTATATATTATGTATGAACACATATTCCTAAATATTCAGACCTCCGACCTCTGAAGTGACTATATATTCAACCTCAAAACTCGTGCGGCTTTGACGGGCCAGGGCTTCAAGGTCAAGGGTTTAGCCAAGTTGACCATTTTATGGCCCTAAGTACTCGGGTTTAGGATTGCAGTTATGTAGGTTACTATCTTTAGGGTTTAGGGTTTAGGGTTTAGGATAGTAGTTATGTAGCTTACTATCTTGGGGTGTATACGATCGCTAAGCACTTGGACCCTCAGGGAAACAACATGCGAATCACACTGAGGATTCCTCCGTGCAGTCGGTGCAGCGGCCAACTACATCCCGAGCCCTCAAACCTAAACCCTGCACCCGTCAAAACCTAGACCCTCAATCCCACATAGGTGGTTGTCAAAATTAGGGTCCCTTTTGGGGTACCCTAAATATTAGGTGCCGTATTATAATAGGGACCCGAAAAGGGACCCTAATTCTGACAACCACCCACATGGCTAGCCAAGATTCTTCTGGACAGCTCGATCGCTGCCTCTAGCTGCGCCGTGTCCTGCTAAGCTGCGCGTGCTGTGGTTGAAGCCAAGCAACAAGCTTTAAATTCCAAGCGAGGAAGGGGCCAGCTGCTTATCTCCACAATATCTTATCACCTTGCGACCGGATGTTTCTATAAGAGCAGTCAGTCAGTTTTGAAGATGCATATCTGGCACTGGCTAAATTGAGCCCATACCCAAACCTAAACCCTTTACCTCAAACCCCTAGGCTGCAAAAGCCTAGTTCCACACACCTAAACCCTGGCCCAAACCCTTAACCTTCAAAGCCTGGAAAGCCCCGAAGGAAAAGCGAAAACAACACACCCGATATTTATAAACTCTACGCAGACTTCTAAACTCTAAACCGCATAATTTACAAAAACACCCTACAGAAACCCGAGCCCACGAATCCTCTCCTGAGCGGCCATGGCCGCGTCCAGCGCCTCTTTTGCCTCGCTTCTGGAGACCTGCTCCTTCAGAGCGGCTTCCTGGCGCTTTAGAAGGATTCAGGGGTTTAGGGGCTATAGGGCGTAGATAGGTTTAAGGGGTTTATGGAGCTTTCGAATCAATGAGGGGTTTGAAGGTTTAGGGTTTATTTGGGGTGCAGGATGTATGCTTCCTTGCACTTCAAAACAAAAAAGTTCAGGGGTTTCGGGTTGAAAGAGTGCGTAAAGGGTTTAGGGGTATAGAGGGGTTTAGGGTTAATAATTACAGAAATGTTCACTCCCGTCCTTGGCGAGGGCATCTTCCTCCTCGAGATCTGTCCTGGCCATGCACTGGAAAGGAAGGGTAGGGGGTTTGGGGTTTCGGGCTTCGGGCTCAGGGTCTAGGGTTTGGGGCTCGGAGTTCGGGGTTGGGCATGGTTTAGGAGGTAGGGGCCCACTGGGCGGAGGGTGTATGGCTCAGGGTTAACACTGCCCCCTAAGCCCGAAACCCTTAAACCCTATACCCACTGCACGCCCGGAAGGTCGAGTCGGGATTTAGATGTGTGAGGAAACAGGGGACCAAATAAGTACACGCTTTAACATAAAGACCTGTTGCAGTACTACGTCATTACAGGTACTTTGAATATTGTCCCTACAAGTAGTAGGACCCGTAGTATCAGCAAGATCCCCCCCAACCCTAAACCCCAAATCCAAGACCCCCAAATCCTTACCTAAACCGTAGACCCTAAACCTAAGACCCTAAATCCTTACCCAAACGGCCCTGAACCCCTAGGCCCTAAACGCGGAAGCCTAATCACGGTTGGCCGAGCCACAAATTCGCTTTCGACATGGTTCCAGCCGTACCTCTGAAGGTTCAGAAGGGGTTCTATTTTGTAAGGTTTAAACAGGAACTACAATGGAGACTCTAGGTATAAATGAGGGTTCTACAAGGCTTCTAGTGGCGTTCTGAAAAAGTTCCAAAGGGTTCTATCGGGGGTTTCTAGAAGGGGCTCATGAGGGGTACTATGAAAAAGGGTTCTGGTTGCTTTGATGTTGCTTCTGGTGGTGAGCATGGTGCCACAGCGACGATTGCAACCATAACGGTGAATACTGCCTCAGGTTCCTGATGTCCAACATATCACAAGTAAGAAGTTGCAGGACCCCGTCACACCAACTGTCCGGCACCATAAACCCTAAACCCTAAACTTTACCCCTAAACCCCTAAACCCTAAACCCTCGGGACGGCGCAACTTGACGACTGGAAACAAAGGGGGGTCTCTTGAGATGGTGGGGCCGGGATCCAGAGATCAAATCTGGACACCCTCATCCCCCGTATCGCTAGACCCTGAAAAGGAGAAGCCCAACCGGCTCAGCTTCCGACGTAGCTTCCTGTCCCCATAGGGCGCAGTGGCCTGGAGTTGGGTTAACGTTGCGGCGCTTTGTGATTTAAGTTTCGTGTGTCAGCTTTCGAGGATGTAGGGGTTTAAGGTTTAGGGTTTTTGTCGACATATGGGTAGTTGTCAAAATTATGGTCTCTTTTTGGATACCCTATGTAAATAATAAGTGCCGTATTATAATATAGGGACCAAAAGGGGACCATAATTTCCACAACCACCCATATAGCTTCAAGGCTTACGGAGGTTTCGGGCTTCGGACCAGCAGGACCTAAACCATGCACAGCTAATCGTGCTTCGGGGTCCTTTTTAGGGATTGAGTGAGGGTTTAGGTTGGAATGGAATTCGGGCAACCCTACCCTAACCCAAACACCCAAGAACCCTATACCCTGAACCCTAATCCTGCACAGCCTAGACTCCAGAGGGCAGCTAACCTGGCCCAATAAGGGAAAACATGAATTGCCCCAAAGGCCTAGCTAGTTCCCCGCCTATGCAGCCTATATTGAACTTAGACTTAGACCACTAGTAAAACTTATACTTTTGGCTTAGCTGCTTCATGCGGTTTCTTGGGGACTACAACAACCAAAGACTAAACAATGTCTTTCAAAGTACCCCTAAGAAGCTGCTTCTATAACAACCAAAGATTAAGAAACCCCTAAAATTTTTAAAACCCTAAACCCTAAAACCCCGAACCCAGGGCTGCTTTGCAGCCGTGGAGCTGGTTTTGCAGAGAAGGGCCCGTAGATCACCATCACCGGTGTCGGGATTCTTGGTTGGCAGCTCGGAGGATGCTGGACAAACGGCAAGAGTACCAAAAGGGGCCTTAATAGTTAGAATAGGGTTCCCTTGAAAGTGGTCCTTTAAAAGGGGGTTTACAAGGGATCTAAGATAGGGTTCTGCGATAAGGGCGATAACAATTAGAGTAGGATCTTGGGTATCTTATATTTATACCAAGGAACCCTGAAGGTAACATTGGAAATCATTTAGGCTCTAAATTGCATGAAGCTTACAACAGTAACACAGATGAGCACATGCGTGGGTGTACGTGGTATGTCTGGTATGTACTGATGCACGTCAAGATGGATAGACAGATAGATGGATGAGACGCGGTTTCCTGTGTATGCATCCACCTGGAACAACCAGAATTTACATGACAAGTCTATGCGAGGAATCTAAGCCTTTTTACTGCACGCATGTGTACCCTAGACACCCTACCAACCCCTCAAGCAAACCCGGTAAGCCTGAACAGTTTCTACCCGTAACCCTATAATCCCAAACCTTAAACTAAGATCCTAAACCCTAATACTATAAGCTAAAATCCTAAACCCTCAATGTCAATTAGGACTTTATGAGCTCTGACCAAGCATCATGCTTTGCGCTGCGTGCTGCAACGCGCCGCTGCCTTGGCCATGGAAAACACTGGAGCTGCGTCAGGGGGTTTCGGGTTTAGGGTTTTGGTGTTGGCTCTACAAGAACTGGGGATATGCTTGATCGCACCCTGCCACAAAACTCTTCGGCCTGTTTTGCTATTCGGCGGCGAATGCAATCCGTAAACCAAGAAACCATCAACACCCTGAACGTCAAGACTGAAACCGGCAGCCGCAAACCCCTAAATCCTGAAGCCCTATGCCAACCCTATCCACCCATCAAGCCAACCCTACAGTGTAACCCTAAACCCTCCACCCTATTGTTACAACTCAAATTATGACCATTAACAGACCATATCCCTAAACCCACACTTCGAAATCCTGAACCCTATACCCAAAGGCCCCAAAGTAGTTCCTTTTGGGGGTTCATATATAGAATCCTATAAGGTAGTCCCAAAAAGGAACTACTTTGGGGCCTTTGGGTAACAAGACCTAGCAAGGAAGCACCCCACAGTTCAGGCAGCGCCGAGCGGCGCGAGATAGGGCCCAAAGCCAGACCTCACGAAGTCTGAGAGTACAGTAAAGTAGGGGCCTTACATATAGTTAGAATAAGGTTCCCTTTAAAGGGATCCTTAAAGGGGTTAGGGGCCTTAATAATCAGAATAGGGTTTTGGGGTATCTTATGCTATAATTATAAGAAGGACCCCTGACAATACTATTGGCAATCATTTAGGCTTCTATAGTATAGGACAGGGCTTTGTGCCATGTTGTACTCGTTGCAAAAATGTGAAGGAAACTTTGGGACAAAACATTGGGGACCAATGTAGGAACCTGATTAAGAAACCTTGGGCCTTTATTAGGGTTCCTTGTATGAATCCGACTACTTGGGGGGTTATAGGCCCAGGGCTTCTTAATCAGGTTCCTACATTGTTCAGGTCCCCGGGTTCCAAGATCTAGAGGCTACGGCTGAGTGTGGCTTGGCAATCTGCATTCTGAGTTGACCATTTGACGATGTTCGCAGCAGGCTTCATACCAATAAGAACAACAAGAACAATGAGGGCGGTGACTAAAATGACTAGAAATAAAAGTCAGGACAAACCACAGCAACACTAAGACTGATAGCTGAAACAACAGGAGTGTCACGACCAGAGAACCCTACTAATGATACGACAAATCAGCAAAAGCTGCAGCAGAAATAATGATCGCACGGGTAAACCTATCCAAGATCAGTCCCTAAACCCAAACACCTGACCCCCTAAACCCTACACCCGCACTCCCCTAGACTCCCTAAGCCCTAAGTCCAACCCCCTAAACCCTAGCCCCTAAACCCCTAAACCCGTCAACCCCTAAGCCCCAAAACCGAAAAAATCCTCCCCAACCCTCCAGTCACCTTCATAGTAACTTTTCAAAAGAGCCCTTCTAGCTCCCTTCAAAAGAACCCTGTTAAATCCCCTTAAAAGAACCCTTTGAAGGATCCCTGAAGCGGAATCCTACTAAAAATATAATTACTAAGGAACTCCCCAAAGTGGTATTGGTAAATATTAAGGCCCCTATATTCAGCTTTCGCGCCTGGCTCCGTCTTCTGACGGCTTAGCTGGCCAGTGGCCGTGGTGTGGGGGCGCGTGAGTTTTGCCATGGCAACAGCGGGATCTTAACCCCTTGAGGGTTCCTCTCAGGGTCCGAGTTACTATGAGGGATCCTAATGAGTGATGGCTCCAGAAAAGGGAGTCTTGAGGTTCTTTGTGTTTTGCTTAGGAGTCTGGGCTGGGTTGGGGCTTGGGGGGTTTGGGCTTGGAGGGTTCAGTTTGCTGTCTTTGGCTTCAGGCCTGTAGGTACCATGAATCATTACGGTCTAACGAGTCGGGGCCTAACATTGTGGTGCCTGTGAACCCTCAAAAGTTGACACATACCTGCACGAAGCGTAAGCAGAGAGAGGCGGCATGTAAACGAAACCTACCGACCTACTGTAAGTCCTAAACCCCAAGTACACTTGCAGCAATGGGCCAGTCTCGGATTCGTTCTAGGCCACGCTTTCGCATTGAGTCGCGAAAAACCTAAACACCTTAGGCAGAATAAATACAACTCAAGTTCAGGGCGAGGGTTTCTAAGATTCGGTTCAGTGTCTCCTCCAGAATCCTAAACTCTGCAGCCCATACCTTGAGCCCCAAGCCCTGAACCCAAAACCCTGCACCTCAAGGCCCTGCATAGCTGGGATCAATCCTCGTCATCATCATGGTCATAGTCGCGATCGTCAGCATCATCATCATGACCATCATCGGCATCAGCATGCGAGTGGTTAGCAGTCTACAAATACACTAAATGGCGAATAAATAAATAAATATATATATATATATATATATGTATATGTATATAATATATATATATATACACACACACGTGTATATATATATATATATATATATTATATATATATATATATATATATATATATATATATATATCTGTACATGTACACAATATGTGCCACATGTACACATGTATAAGTATTTATACATGCATACTTGTGTTAGGAATAAATGTATGTGTGTGTGCGTGTGTCTGGTGGTGTCTGTGCGTGCGATGGAACTGTAAATGAAGTTCTTTGTATTCAGATAATTAAAGAAAGACCTTCGGCCTTTATCATGCAGTACAACATGCTCCAAAACCCTGTTCCAATTCTTAGGTAGGCCCTTCCATTGCGACGGCCGGCCCAGGGCCTAAGTATAGCATAATATAGGACCCCTTTAATGGAACTCCATCCTCAGCAGGAAGGCTCCTTAGGCCCCCCATTATAAGCGGGGATCGAGGGCGTACGGATAGCATAAATAAAGATCAGACCCACCTTAAGGGAACCCTAAACCCGACACCCTAAAACCCTAAAACCCTAAACCCCTGAACCTCTAAACCTCTAAACCCCAAACCCTAAGCCCTAAACCCCAAACCTTAAACCGAGGAGGAGGGCCCTTTAAGGAGAGATCTAGGGCCTGGTAGTCTTCCGCCTCGCGGGCTTTCCGAGCCAACCTCAAAGCAGGACATGATGGGAGGCCAAAAAGGGGGTTCGGGTACTATAAGGGCACTATAAGGGTTTAGGGGTTTAGGGGGTTTAGGGTGTTTAGGAGGTTGTTGATGGGAGGCCAAAAAGAGGGCTTTAAGATTCTTGGGGTAGGGATCCCTTGATAGGAACCCTATTATGGGAACCCTACTAAACCCCCATAGTCTTGGGGTAAGGATCCCTTGATATGAACCCTATTCTGGGAACCCTATACTAAACCCCCATAGTCTTGGGGTAAGGATCCCTTAATATGAAGCCTATTCTGGGAACCCTATACTAAACCCCCATAGGCTAAAACCCCTTCTGGCCTCCTATGAGGACATGCGCACAAAAGGGGCCTTTCGGTGAAACTTAGGGAGTTTCGGGCTTTTGGTGTCGTTAAGAGGGGTTTAGAGTTTAAGGCTTCGCTGCTTAGGAGTTTTGTGAGTTTCGGATTTGGGGCTTTGGTTACCACCACTAACTACTACCTCCTCTTCTACTTGGAGGGTCGGGGGACTTAGTAACTGGTTATTTTAGGGACTTATAAGTACCATAACCCCAATTAGGGTCCCTTTTAGGGTACTTATAAGTCTACTTACTACCTACTTACTAAGTCCCCCGACCCTCCAAGTAGTACTACTAGTACCAACTGCGGCCGGGTTTCTGTTTTTTTGTTTATCTGGTGCGGCCTCCGTCAACCAGCACACTTCCTGGCGTTCTCTTGGAACGCTACTCAGTATGAGAAGGACTGGGGCACAGACTTCTGTACAAGTAATTCCTGTGAATTTCGGACGTCTAGCGGGTCTAACGGTTTGAAGCTAGACCTTGACCATGAGTCATTTGCTTGGGCACCTTGCTCGTTCAGGGCAACTATGATGCCCTCGATGCATTCTCGCGACAGCTTCGAAATTCTAAGTCCCGAGCTCAGCTTCATAGCTTGCTCTCTCGGCCTCTGCCAGGGATGGATGCTGGATGCAGGGCATCAGTTTAGGGTTTACGCTAAAGGTCTACGTCGAGGAGCATTGAGGGTTAAGGTGCTGGGACCGAGTCATGGGTTGGTCCCCATTCCAGGAGCTGAAACACTGAGCGTCCAGTCTGCCAAAGATCTACGGAGTGTTACGGGGCTCGGAGCACCATCGCGGTTGGTTACTCTAGCAACACTGTTTTTGTCCAGGCCCGGGGGTCGAACAAGGCAAGCGGATTAAGAATTACCTTCAGTCTACATTCTAGTTCCTTTTTCGGCTTTACTAATTTTATATGTCGGATCCAAACCCTAAACCCCAAAACGTAAACCTAATAAGGTAACCCCCACAAAACGAACTACAACGGAGACTGTATAGGTAGAGATTCAGGCTTCAATTTTCTGGTTTGGCAGATCGACAGTCCGTACATGGGAGTTTCCGAAAATAGGGGATCCTAATATAGTACCCTAAATAGTAGGATCCTTATTATAAGGACCCCAAAATTATGTACCTCAAAATATTCGGAACTCCCACCATCTTAGGCTGAGAGCCTTGGCCAACAGGCCTCAGAGCCTCTTTTATTGATGCAAAGCATCTCAACTAGCCTCTAGATTCCACAGAAAGCCCCAAAACAACGTGCACAAAAAGCCTATTGCCCCCAAGAACTCCACGAAACCGGCCCGAAGGCCAATGGCCAATGACCAATGAACAAAACATTCAACAAGTCTTATTTAAAGCCAGAGTTTAGGGTTTAGGATTTAGGGTTTATATTTAAAGCCCCAAACATATCCACCTTAAAATCTTGCCTTTTCCCCCTAGAGCTCTAAACCCTTCAAGCCCTACATCCCAGAATTATGGTAACTCAAATTACCCATAGGCCCCAAAGTAGTTCCTTTTGGGGATTACCTTATAGGATTCTGAAATATGAACCCCCAACAGGAACTACTTTGGGGCCTTAGGTTACAACCCCAAACCTTAAACCTCAAATTAAAGCCCTAACCCCTAAACCCCTAAACCCCTAAACCGTAAACCCTAAACCCCCAAACCCTAAACCCTAAACCTCAAAGAATGCCTCGAGGGACTCCTCGTACGCCCGGGCCCTTTGCGCGGCCTGCGGAATCCCCCCCCCCCCCCCCCGCCCCCAAACCCAGGGATCGAAGGACTCATATGGGTGGTTGTCAAAATTATGGTCCCTTTTTGGGTTCCCTAAATAAAAGATGCCGGATTATAGTAAGGACCCAAAAAGGGACCCTAGTTTTGACCCCCATATGTTAAGGCTATATAAGGCTTTTGTGCTATTTTGATCCCTTGGGCAATATCCTTGAATTATGGAATATACCTCAAGTATAGCAGGATCCCTAATATGATTAAGGTTGTGTTCCTAAGGGTTTAGAGTTTTGGCTTTAGGGTTTCGGGGTTAGGGATAGGATTTAGTACTACTAACAGAAGTAGTCATTCAGGCTTGTAGATTACTCCGAAACAAGGTTTAGGGTGCCTTGGTTCAGAGTTTAGGGGTAAAGGGTGTGGGGTTTTAGGATCTTAGGGTTTAGGATTTACGGCTTCGGGTTTTAGGGTTCAGGGTTGAAGATGTAATGCGAATTCGGGTTTGGGTTTGACAAAAACTCCAAACCGGGTTTAGGACCGTGGGGTCGTGGGGTCCTAGAAAGCTGTGTTTTCATTGTTGTCACAGAGACACACACACACAGAGACAAACACGCACACGCACACGCTCGCGCACTCAGAATACAACAGGGTTTAGGATTTAGGATTATACCACAGGTACAATAGGGGATCGCTGGATCGTCTGTGAAGGCCCTTCAGCCCTGAGTGCAGGACCTCAGCAAATTGCAAAGCTCTTTCCGCGGCAGCTTTGATGACTCCTACTTGGAGGTTCATGGGTAGTTATAAGTGTGGTTATAAGTCGCCTTATAGGAGATATATTACTAGTTACCTTGCTTATAAGCCCACTTATAACTACCCATGAACCAAGTATGTTCCCCTACCCTAAGGCCCCGAAGTAGTTCCTTTTTGTGGTTCATATTTAGAATCCTACAAGGTAATCCCAAATAAAGGAACTACTATGGGGCCTGAGGGTAGTAGAACCTGCACCGCAAACCCGACAGACGAACCCCGAAAATGGAGAATTGAAGGAACAGCTTTCGAAAGGGATGTCTAGGTTTCATGAACTCCCCGTGCGGTAACAACCGAAACAACAACGTATGTTAACCCTCTACGCTCGACGACCGTATTGTTAGAATCCTACAGTTGCAATCAAACTGAAAAGTTCAAAAACAACGAAAACATCAAACCCAAAATCCCAAACTCTAAGCCCTCTAAAAAAACACGCAAAACAACAGTTAGCTTTGTGTGGGACCGGCCTCCAATTTCATCTCGGACAGCAGCTGCAATCGCACCTCGAAACATAATGCAACTGACGTCCCAGAGAGCCCAAAGACCTTAAAATTCAGTTTCGTGCCCTGAATACCTTGAATCATAACAATTAATCCCCGTAGAGTAAGGTATACTCATCGATTAAGGCGATTAGGCTCTCTGGACCAGGAATAGGGTTTAGGGCTCACGGATTATGGAGCTTGTGGTTCGCTAAACTCCTAAGGTAAAATCCAGAAAGTTGGAATATGATTA